GGGAGTCGATGGGGATGATAAGTGGGGGACAGATGAGTAGAGACAGTATGGGGCGATATCGTACTGTCATCCACACGACGTGCAGTGTGGCCTAGGTCTAGGTGATACAACACACCAACCACAGGTGGAGAGGGGGCGGTAAAACCATCAGAACTAAAACCACCCCAAGGTGACGACGGGAGCCACGCCGAACCCTCCAGTTCACTCCCACCATCGCTGGCAAGTCCCGTGAAGGGAGGGAGGGGCAGGCAACGAAAACGCAATTTTCACCTTAAAATCCCAGGTTCTGGTTTTGATTTCCTAGTTCACCTTGAACTCAGGACCCTAAGGAAAGGTAAAGTACAAGCAAGCCAGCGTCCGTCGCCCGTCCCACCCCTGCAGGGGGTCCCCTCCCCCGGTGCCAGGGCAGGACCTTCCAGTCCACTGGACCGTGAGAGGGAGCAGTGGCCCCGCAGCAGGGCAGCCCGACAGCGCCCAAGTCCGCTCCTGTCCCAATCTCTGCAAACCCAGCTAGTCCGCACCCGCCGCCTCCAGCCTCCCCCGGGCACCCGGGCGGGAGCAACAGTGGGGTCTCCCGTCGGCCGCGGGGCGTCGAGAAGCTCCTGTGGCCGAGCCCCTCACCCGGCACTGAGAGGGCTCCACTGCGTCTGACAGTCCAACCAGCCGAATCCCACTCAGAACCTTCCAACTTGCTTTTTTTTTAACAAATTTTTTTAAAATATATATTTTTATTGATTTCAGAGAAGAAGGGAGAGATAGAAACATCAATGATGAGCGAGAACCATGGATCAACTGCCTCCTGCACACCCCACTCTGGGGATGGAGTTCACAACCCGGGTCTGTGCCCTGACCGGGAATCGAACCCAGGACCTCCTGGTTCAGAGGTCAACACTAACCACTGAACACACCAGCCGGGCAAGGTTAAACCTTTGTTATCCGGGGAATCCTCTAGTCCTCAGGCACCTTCGTGTGTATCATTTTAGCAATGAGATTATTATTAGGAAAAACACCAATAAATGATAAGAAAGAATGAGCAGAGAAGACATGCGGCACTTGGGAAAAAAGAAATACTTATATAATTACAGTTTTTAAGAAACTGCAAAAGCCTGGCCCTGGCTGGTGTGGCCCGGGGGTGGGGTGTCGTCCCGAACGCGGAAAGGGTTGCTGGTTCGATTCCCGTTCAGGGCACAGGCCCAGGTTGCAGCCTCGGCCCCAGTGGGGGGCGTGCGGGAGGCAGCCCATCAATGTTCCGCTCTCATATCCATGTTTCTCTCGCTCTCTCTCTCCCTCTCCCTTCTCTCTCTAAAATTCAATTTTTAAAAATCTTAAAAAAAATAAATTGCAAAAGACTTGCAAATATTCTTATCATCTAACTTTTATCTCTGAAGCATAAACACCTTTACTATGGCTGAGTCAACTTAAAAAACAAACGGTTCCTCCTCCCTTTCATGGGTTACGTAATGCAAATACCTATTTTAAAAACTACCCAATTGAGCACAATGTCCAAAACAGTCCTTTCTGTGAAGGAGGCGCTGCCAGCGCCGTTATATTTGCAGACCAGCACCACCCCCGCCCGCGGGAGCAGCCAGACCGCCGCCCACCGTCGCCCCTTCAGCTGCACCATTTCAGCTTCTCACACATCACAATGCAAACGTGCAGCCGACACTGTGCCTTTCGGTGCTGTTACCCCTCCCCCCTCCCGTCAGCAACCACGTGCATCTCCTGCCGATGGCATCCAGCGGGCGCAGGGAAGCGGCAGAGTAAGTGGCCGAGGCCCCAGATGAGCACGTCCCCTCCACAAAGCTTTTCCCAAATCCCACGCGGCCCTCATCCACCACAGCACGCACCCCTGCACCTGCCGCCTCGACGCCCGTTCGACCTGTCCTGGGGGAGGGAAGGGGCAGCAGGGCGGGGAGGAGGCTGGGACCTCGCACTGGCTAGTTCTTGCCTCGTTTCTAACCTGTCCGTTTAGGAGTGAGGCTGGGGGGGGGGGGGGGGGAACCGCCCTGGGGAGGCCGGCTCTGCGCCGAGTGAGAGGGGCCACCGAGGGCGGAGCCGGGCAGTGACGCCCTTCGGTTTGCCCTCTCATCTCTCTGGCTGACACGTGGAAGAAGAAACCTGCGGGGAGGTCAGGAGTAGAATAAGTAAGGATCCTGCCCAGACAGCGTGGCTCAGTGGTGAGTGTCGACCTATGATCCAGGAGGTCACGGTTCGATTCCCGGTCAGGGCATGTGCCCCGGTTGTGGGCTGGATCCCCAGTGTGGGGCGTGCAGGAGGCAGCCAATCAAGGATTCTCTCTCATTGATGTTTCTATCTCTTCCTCCCTCTCCTCTCCTCTCCTCTCTGAAATCAATAAAAAAATAATAATTGGGGAAAAAAGATCCCTTAAGAGGACCCTGCAACCCCCAGGAGAGACGGACCAGAGCAACGAGGTGCGAGGTGGCAGGTCTGGGGGAGTTGCAGGCCGGCCTGCGACCGCTGGCAGCCCGACTGTGGACGTGAGAGAAGAGGCGCCGAGGGTGACCCCGGGGTTTGGCCCGGGCAGCGGCAGACAGAGCCGTCACTCACGACCTAACACGGTGACGACGCGGGAGGGACGGCAGCCAGGACACACGCCCAAACAGGACGTGCGAGATGCCATCACACTTCCAAGGACGCCAGGTGGCCCAAACCCAGGCGCCGATTTCCTTCTGACGGAGGAACGAGAAAGCGCCGGCGAAGGAAGCCGCGAGGAGAGAGCACAGAGAGCGAACAGGCGTGGGGGCCTGAGACATTCCAGGGGAATAAAAGGAGGAAAGAGGGGTGGACGGGTCGGAAGCTGATGACAGGTGCACGATGCGGCCCTGAGAGCAGACATGGGTGTGGTGAGGGGTTCGAGTGGCGGCAGCAGCTCCAGGGCGAGCGGAGCAGACGTTCTCAGCGAAGACCTGGCTGCCGTGGGTTGGAAAGTACAAGAAGGAAACGGGAGGGAGGCCCATCCCTGGAGCCTCGCTGACCAGGAGGAAACCGAGGCAGCTGCAGGAGCGGAGGGGCCAGAGGCCTATGGTGGCAACCACCACGTGTGTTTCCACACGAGGGGAGACTCCGCAGGGAGGAGGCCGATGTGGGAGGGAGGGGAGCTCCTGTGATGGGGGCTGGGGTCTCACCCCCGTGTGCAGCCAGCCCTCCTAAGGGGAGAGGGAAGGGGGTGTGGGCACAGGCTCAGGGGGCAGGCGGCCCTCCTAAGGGGAGAGGGGAGGGGGTGTGGGCACAGGCTCAGGGGGCAGGCGGCCCTCCTAAGGGGAGAGGGGAGGGGGTGTGGGCACAGGCTCAGTGGGCAGCCAGCCCTTCACTAAGGGGAGAGGGAAGGGGTGTGGCCACAGGCTCAGGGGCAGGCGCCTCCTAGGGGAGAGGGAGGGGTGTGGGCACAGGCTCACAAAATGCGCCTCAGATGTTCTGGGTTCATACTGATTCCTCCGAGCACCACCATCCCCTTCGGGAGCCGCCCCCCCTTTATTTCCAGCTGCTCCTCGGGTGCCTGTGTATTGGGCTCCATCCTGGACTCAGGCGTAACCAGCTACCCCCCGAATTCTTACCCGACTTCATTGCTCCGTCAGCCGCGGGGCATGTGAGAAACAGAGAGAAAGGAGACAGACAATGAGGTCATCGCCGACGGCCGCCTGCGGATGTAACAAGAAGCCTCTCCTCTCTTCAGTTACACAGGACAGAGCCGCCCGAGATGAAAACGAGGTCACGTCCAAGGCCCCGCAGCCTCACTCACCAGCCCGGGCGCCCAGCACAGGGTGGCGGGCAGCGCTGGCTGTGACCGGCTCCTGACACGGCTAACGAAGCCCCTTTGCTGGCACTGCCACGTCCTCGCTCCGGTCCCGCCACCGGAGAGGCAACCCGCCGGGAGCTCCCGGGTCCCCTCTGCCCGAGGCCCTGCCCCGGAGACGGGCCTATCGGTGCCGACTCGCTGACGGGCTCTGAGTAACAGGCCCCCAGGGAGCTCGTTAAACTGAATGTCGGCTGGTGACCTGGTGGCGACGCCAAGGTTAACTTCAGACACGTGGGCCCAGGGAGAATTTGGGGGGTAACGGGATACGCCCCAGTCCAGGACGGAGCCCAATACACAGGCACCGGAGAAAGAGCTGGGAATAAAGGGGGGCGGTTAAAGAAGGGGGTCGTGGTGCTTGGAAGAATCAATGTAAACCCAGAATATCTGATGCTTATTCTGTCAGATGGATTTAAAAACAACCCCATGGAGATAAAATCAACTGGAGATGAGCACTAGATAAAACAATATAATGAGTAAGTTTAGGTTTTACATTTCTTAAAAAAAAAAAAAGGAGAAAAGAGAAATGTCTTTTGAAACAGAAGTACTGCTCACGTCCACATAAGCTACCAACAGTCGACTTCACACACATTCAGCCCGCGGCCTTGTTCAACGGACGGTCCTGCCATTGAAATACGCAGGAGCAAGAGATCATAACACCTGCTGATCAGAACACTCACATGAGGAACGCCTACCGCAAATTAAATGTCCAAACCCACATGCAGGTCACACTCCAGAAACAGCCCTTCACAGGTTTCTCATCCTAAAAGCCCAACGCTCCTCAATGCGTAATTTCCAACGTGTAAGATCCCAGATGACAATACAATGTGTTAAAGTGTCAAAGGGTAAATTATAGACCAGAAT